CGACCTGCGGCAGGACATGCTGACGCTGCAGATGATCCGGATCATGAACAAGATCTGGGTGCAGGAGGGGCTGGACATGCGCATGGTCATCTTCCGCTGCTTCTCCACCGGCCGTGGACGAGGTAACACAGTGTTGGGGTGGCTCCCAGCAGCATCAGCCCCCAGATAGCGATGCTTTCGGGCTGCTGATGGCACAGGAGGTCTTGGGGCTCTGCTAGAGAGGAGCTGCTGCAAGTAGCTGTGATCTACCTCCGGGTCTGATCCCACCAGCCCGTCTGCAGGAATGTGGCGTTGCAGGCTGTCACTCAGCGGTGATGGCTGGGGAGTGGCTGGGCTGGTGACAAAGTGGGCTGGGATCTTGGCAGGACGGTTGGGTCTCACCCTGCTGTCTTGGCTGCCAGGCATGGTGGAGATGATCCCCAACGCTGAGACGCTACGCAAAATCCAGGTAGAGCACGGTGTCACGGGCTCCTTCAAAGATCGGCCACTGGCAGACTGGCTGCAGAAGCACAACCCTGAGGAGGATGAGTATGAGAAGGTGAGGAGGAGCCTGGCATGGTCCCTACTCCCCATGCTCCCCTGTCCAGGGATGAGACCTGTCGCTTCCCGACGTGCCCAGCCTTTCTCCATGCCTGGTGGCTCCATCCCTCTCTCCTTCCCTCCTCCCAGGCCGTGGAGAACTTCATCTACTCCTGCGCTGGCTGCTGCGTGGCCACCTACGTTCTGGGAATCTGCGACCGGCACAACGACAACATCATGCTCAAAACCACCGGCCACATGTTTCACATCGACTTCGGCAGGTTCCTGGGCCACGCGCAGATGTTTGGTAACATCAAGAGGTGAGAAATGCCTCCGGCGCCCCCTTCCCCCTTGCCTGGGCTCATCCCTGTGGGGCTGCGGCTCTTCAGCTTCAGGGTTTCACGGGGTGAAATCTCATGCTGGGGTCCTGGTGGTGGGTGACCCCTGGCCATGGTCACCTGCAGGGACCGGGCGCCGTTCGTCTTCACTTCTGACATGGCGTACGTCATCAACGGGGGGGACAAGCCCTCCAGCCGCTTCCACGACTTCGTCGACCTGTGCTGCCAGGCCTACAACCTGATCCGCAAGCACACCCACCTCTTCCTCAACCTTCTGGGGCTGGTGAGAGGCAGGGGGACACATGCCCGTCCCCCCCCAGCCATCGCAGAGGGGGTCTCCCACCCCCACCTTCTCCTACCACCACCTGCCCTCATCCCCCGCCTTGCCTCCCAGATGCTGTCCTGTGGCATCCCCGAGCTCTCCGACCTGGAGGACCTCAAGTATGTCTACGATGCCCTCAGGCCACAGGACTCTGATGCCGATGCCACCACCTACTTCACCAGGTAGAGGACATGGGTGGGCGATGGGGCAGGAGAGGATGGAGCGAGACACGGGCACCAGGTTGGCACGCTGACAGGCTCCTCCGTGCCGAACACGTGGTGGCCTCGTTGCAGGTTGATCGAGTCCAGCCTGGGCAGCGTGGCCACCAAACTCAACTTCTTCATCCACAACCTGGCGCAGATGAAGTTCACGGGCTCCGACGCCCGCCCCACAAAAACACCATCAAGACGTCCGGCCGGATCCGCGATGTCTTCCTCTGCCGTCACGAGAGGGTCTTCAACCCCAGCAAGGGCTACGTGAGTGGGGACAGCTGGGGACAGGCAAAGGGACAACTCGGTTCTGTCCCAGTGCTTCTTCCCGGCCTCTTACTGGCTCGG